ATCGCGCAGTGACCTGCCATCAACAAAGTAGGTGTGAACCCATGATGTTGTGCAATCACGTGTAGCCGCCAGTCAGCCAGGGTACATCGCCTCAATCGATATAGAGCTGGTCCGTAGGGTTGAAGCCCCTCGGGGATATCTTGTGTGCGCTCTGTATGTGCACAGTTAGGTCATGTTTGCGTACGGCGAATAACGTGAAACCTGGCAGCAAAAAACAGATGATGACGTAATGCAACATCTGTTTCTACTGTGTTCTCTCGTCAGATGCATGCAAGTATCGAGATACCACAGGTGAAGATGCATTGCGTGCATGTTTGAGGGTCGTCTAGGCTCCATGAAGCAAAATGTGGTAAATCCTGTAGCTGCGATCGTAGTACTTTGCACTCTCACGAGTAGCCGCATGTGAGCCAAGGTGCCTCGCTTCAGGTGGTAGAGAGGTGGTATGCAGAAGTGGGATGGAGGAGGCTGCCTTGTGTAACCACCGTACAGTTCTGCAAATCCTGCAAACAAATTTCAGGACGAACTTTAACTGGGTATTTTAGCGTATATCTGGAAAGGTTATTTTGATCAACTGAGTGGATTTAATAATAACAAGGGTTTTGTTTTGGAAAACTGACCTCTGATTTAAAGTTATTGAAGGAAATAGGCTCTCATTTTGGCTAAATCACGAGTATATTTATATTAAAGAAAGTCCCTATACTATAAGGAAAGACAGGACGAAAATTTCTTCATATATACATTGTGATGTGGAAGAATTCCATAATTAGTAACAAAAGGTGGAATAATAACCCATTCAAGTACTGGAAAATTTTATGCGAAGTTGATCAAATGGAACTAAAGCGAAGTTTAAGGAATCGCATTTTATCTTCAAAAACAAGCACCGATAGAAGTTTAAAAAATTATATTTAGCTATTCTGTGAAGTATTTTTTTGCAAAAAAATGCAGAAACAAAAGGGTCTTGGTAGAACATTTTCCTTTACCGCACAGCTGGACGAGCGCGTAAACAAAGTTTCTACATGTAACCGCTGAGACAGCCTGACAAATGCCTTATTGACTGTAAGTTATGTAGAAATATAGCTTTTTTGTAAACAATAGATTCCGCTCAAGCGTTATTTAGACACGGTGCAGCCAGAAGAATAATAAGTATTTCAAAAAATGGTCATATACGTGGCCTGTTTTTTCTGGCATTCGCAGGTTTATTACGGATCGTAGAATAAATCTTCTTTAGCGAAAAATGATCCGTTATAAAGAGCGAGGTATGTTCTTTCATCTCCAGTCAAATTTAATAGTTTTTCTTGAGATAACTTAAAGAAATTATCAGGCGTCCCCTATTTCCCTGTGAGATTATCTTGGAAAAAGTTAATATACGCAGAAG